AACAAGTAATATTTATTTTAAAAGTGAAATTCATAAAATATTTAACATATTACACTCAAAAGTGAGAAATTACATAATGAGGTAAAGCATAAATACAATAAATTTCTCCTATTTTAACATAAGTCTTTTTATTATGGGGCTTTGAAATCAATTCAGGGTCTCAAAAATTATAGGAAATAATTTCACATAATCCAGGCACTCACCAGCAAAATTCTAAAAATATCATAATTCCTGAGATCAAATTATACTATAGGGCTATGTAGAGGGAGGTGCTGACTCTCTAATTGGTTCTTGATTTTGTCAATAAAAAAGGCGGATGTCAACTGCTGGGTGAAAGGAAGGGGAAGAAGAACAGACTCGGGGGAGAGGAGGGAGCTCTTCTGGCCAAGCTTTGGAACAAGAAAGACACACAGCTATGTAAGGTCTTACGGCCTCTGCCATTGGTGGATGGCTGAAATAGGCTAGCTGGTAAGGTTGGAGCAGAAGAATCTTTGCGTTGCATTTGTGTTATCTGGCAAGTTCTAAATTAATAAAGCTGCCTAGAGTTTTTCTTCCACAGAGCTAAGGTAGATGGAGAAAAGGAGCAGACAGCACAGTTGATGGTGGCTTTGCAAAGCTAGCAGGAACAAAAGGGAAAACTGGGAGTGAGGCCGATGGAGCTAAACTGGGAGACATCCGAGTGCAGGCTGAGCTCCTGGAAAGGTTGTAGCATGTTTTTTAATATTACACGCAATAGCGACATTACAGTAATATGGAGATAGTAGCAAAAAAAAAAAAAAAAAAAAAAAAGAAAAAAGAGAGACCAAATGGCATACAGGTCTAGGGAGCAGTAAACCCAGAAATAAGCTTGAGTAGTTTTTCAATGCCGTTGAAAATAAGAGAAATACACAAGTTATTTTAAAAGGCAGCCCTCTTTGGCATAAGGTCCTTAGAAATCTGTAGAACATATGTGGAAAATGAAAATAGAAACCTTTCCAAAAACAAACAGTTTACATCACCGTTAATGTAAAATCTGGCAGTTTGAAATTCCTCACCAAAATAGTGAAAACAGTCAAAGATATAAACACTGTCAATGACTCTTTACTAGATTCATGTAGCTGAGGAAGAAACAAGTGCTAAGAACTGAAACCATCCAGTCACAAAGCTTCTGTAATACAAACAAGATGGCAAAACGCCAGTCCTTAGAATCACAGAAAATGTTTTCCAGGTGTCCATCTTAAAAGTAATTCATAAATAGAATATATATAAATTAAATAAAAGATTGAATGATAAAGTTAGTAAGGTAACAAATTAACATATTAAACACTTCTTAAACATAGAAATACAAATGACCAGTAAGCAACTGAGAATTCAAAAATGTGCAATACTCTTAGCCATTGAGTAAATGTAAGTAAGACTCACTGAATTTCATTTCATCGACATTTTATCAAAAATATAATAAATGATAAAAATAATGTTTCGAAAAGGGAATATGCATGCATTTCTAGAGTAAGAGAAATTTAGTTCAACTGATGTAAAAATCATGTGGCTGTACCTTTAAAAAAAAAAGTAAAAACTAGAACAACTATATGATTCAGCTGTCCCTTCGTGGGCATACCCAAAGGTCAAGATGTATAACCAGGCTAGATGCCTATCACTAGCTGAATTAACAAAATTAATGTGATATATAAAGATATTCAACACAAGAAACTGTCATTTTCAGGAATGAAGGAAGAAATAGAGATTTTGATACAGAAAAATATAAAGGTAATTCTTAGACAATAAACCTTAGAAAGACAATTGTCACATGTTTTCTCTCATATGTGAAGTTCAGAGTAAGGAATAATAAACACATAGGAATAATAGCAGAATTAGTCACATATGGAAATGAAGAATGGATGTGGAAGAATACGTGTGTGATTAGACAGGTCGATATATTATAATAGTCCATTATAAGCATACATGAAAGATATAACAATGATATTGACCATTTTTGCAACTAATATACACTGATAACAATGCCATGACATCTCACAAACTGTATACTTATATGTTAAACATAGCTTGTTTTAGATTCTAACTTAAAAAAAAACAAATTTACAAGCACACACACACATGCTTATTAATAGTGACATTTGTTTATATGTGTTAAGTATAATTTAGACAAATTTTATAAGTAATAAATTATATTTTCTATGAACTGGTATTTTAATAATAATAATAATAATAATAATAATACTGCAAAAGTGAAATTATAAACTATGCATTCAACTAGAAATAATCTTTCTGTAGACAAATATTCAGGCCAATATTTGCATATCTATTAGTGATTACTTTTTATTAGGTTTAAACTTGATATGTCCCTATAATTGGTAATCTATAAACCCTGGTTAAGAGAGTGGAAATATATGTAAAGAGATCCTCACATCTAACTGGTCCCACGGGGAGCATGATTTAGAAAGGGTGTATTTATATGCAACTGAAATGATAGTGCAGCCTGGCTCCCTTTGATGAAACACTGCGAAAGGGCAGTATTTAGCCTTACCAGCTCAAGAGCTACCATCCAAGAATTGTCAACAAAGTACCTTCGTAATGTTAAGGCATGAATTTAATGTACTCTATTGTAAAAGCACACAATTCACAATATAAGTTGCAATTAAAGCACAGATCAAGTAGGAATATATTGCTCCTTCATGGTGAGAAAATATTAACACTTTGAATTTCATTTTTTTATGTCAAAATAGAAGATTTGAAGACCAAAATCAAGTCTTTCTTTTAACTATTAAGTTATGTATCAGTAACTTTTAATATAAACTCAATATTTTATGTGAGAAACTTTTTTTAAAAAAATTTCATGCTTTATATTCTAGACACTGCTGAAAATAAGACCAACATCCTCTTGAAGGACCACCACAACAGTCCAGGTGACTGTCGAAACAGCAGGTAACTGGAGAATTATCTTTATATTTTTCTGTCATGCAGCCAGTGAAGACAGTGGGTAAGGCAGAAACACGTCTTTCTTACAACTATTTTGGCTTCTTTTTACTAGGTCAAACATGTTTTTTGTCAGTTTGGTAATGTCATCTCTACATTCTGTGAGTTGTCTTTGGAAACATGAAAGGGATTCTTGCAGAGATATTAGAAAATTGCATAGCATTTTAGTTTTAGCCTTAGTCTCTTTTTTTTGAAAAATTGAAATAAACATGCTGGAAGATCATTATTTTAAAAATTATTTGTGACTATAGTATTTAACGTTATGTTTTCTCTTACTAGTCAGCTCATTTGTGATAAGAGACTGGCAGCACTAAATCTCAAGAACAGTGTTTGAAAAGATCAGTGTACGTCTTAAAGCATTGAACAAACTATTTTTTATTTCTCCTGACTCAATAAAAGTGTCAGTATTTATCATTAACATATAAGATCTTACATGCATTCTAAAATTATGAGGGGTAAAACCAATCTCTTTATATTTATTTATATGTTATACTTTAACAAAATTAATTTCTGAAAAATGCATGGGAGATATTTATATACATGTTTTATACTTTCATTTAATTAAGTTTATATTCTCTTATATAAAACAAAAGTCTAAATACATTATAAACCATAAAGTAATGACTTTATTTGAGGAATAAATCCTTTATAAACCTAATACATAAAATTACATATAGAAAACACGACTTTTTGCACTATTTTTTTACTTGGTGTTTTTTTTCCTCTAAAACAATGGGAATAAAAAATAGAAATAGTTTTGTTAGAAAGTCATAAACTAAGATATTGAGTATAATTTTGACATCAACATAAGCTGGAAATGCAGTAGTTTCTATGGCATGACACTTAACAACAAAACATGGATTCATGCATTGCGTATCATGTGAAAAAAGGCTCTGCATATGTGAAAACCTGATTTTTACAAGCTGCAAAGACAATTTAATGACGAAAAAAAATCAAGATTATCCTCAATAGATGTAGTTGAATCAGTTGAGTATCTGTAGGTAACATTGCAAACCTTCGCCTGCGCATTTCTGATTGTCAAATGCATTTTGGATTGTCTCACACAAAATGATTTAAAAAAAATACTCAGAATAGAACTATTTTTTATTTCAAGAATAAAACTTCAGAAAACTTAAAATGATTCATTTATTTATTTATAAAATATTCTTGGTAGCAAACATTTAATTCGTGTTTAATATTCTGGGTTTTATGAAACTTTTTTGCAACTAACTAGGGTTTTATTAAAAGTGATAAGTTAATCAAAATAAAAGTTGTTAAATTATATTTGTCTCTTAAATTTCATATTTCCTAAATTTTGATTTTTAACATTTTCATATGTAGATTATCCTTTTTCTAATTTATAATTTGATATATATAAATGTCTTTGTATGTGCATTCAGGCAATTATGTATCTACTTGTCCTACTTCATGTTTATCTTTATTAGAAATAATATTATTTAATTATTTAATATTTTAATTTCTGACAATAATTTTAAATAAGTAGAAAGTTTAGTATTCACAAATTATGAAAAGTAGGAAAAATCAAAATTTATTCTAGACTTTGAAAATTGTTAGCTTCACAAAGTAATGATATTAATATGTGAGAAGATTCCATTCTGAATATTATTTATCAAGAAATAAACTGTTATAATTCATAAATATTTTATAAAGAAATATATTTCTTATAATTTGAAGGAACATAAATTCATTAACCATAGTTCATAATGCTACAAAGCAAATTCAAGATAATTTAAAGTATAATCTAGTCTTATCTATTGTCGAACAAATATACATTTTATGACCTAATATTTGAGCAAACTTTTATCAATTTGTATTACGAAAATAGAATGTTTCATGTGTAATAGTTTTAAGAAACGTCCAAAACTTGTACTGACTTCAATTATTTCTGGATTGACTTTCTTTATAAAGTACCAACTAGCCAAAATGTTTCAACTACTTGTTGACTCTATCTAGTAAATTCTGAAAATTTATACATTTCAATCTACTCAGGATCCTCACAGTCTTACCTTGTCAGGCTTAAATCCTAGGACTCCAGAAACTGAAACTGCGGCTTCTTAGCAGTGACATGAGAAAAGAAGGAAAAAAAGCTAACTTGTTTCACAGGCTTCTCCGCAGACTCTCCATGAATTACTGTGCTCTGATTTAGGGATGCTGGGCTTTGAGTAGCACAACACGTCACTATGTCAGTGCTTACTCAATGCTATTTTGGGTTCTCCAAGTAGAATCATGAACACTGAGCCTTTTGTTCAAAATGCCATAAGGGCATTCTGATGTCCGTTCTTAGTCTGAGGTTAAAATGGAGACCGCTAAACAAGGAGTATGATACAACTTTCTCATTCTCTCTCTCTCTCTCTCTCTCTCTCTCTCTCTCTCTCTCTCTCTCTCTCTCTCTCTCTCTCTCTCTCTCTCTCTCTCCTCTCTCTCTTTTTCATTCTTTATTTTGTTCTCTACCCCCTGTCTCTTTTGTCATGTTTTCTTTTTTTTCCTAACAAGCCAAAGGAAGTACTCACTTGAGGTGAGAACAAGGCCACTTACGTAAGAGAGTTGTGCAAGTGGAGAGGACATGCCCCCTGCTTGGGGATTAGCCCAGCAAACAAATGATCAATTTAAAGCAGGGACAAAAGTTACTAAAAGGAGAAAAGTCCTTCACTGTATGACTAGACCTTCTAGCTGCTTTTTAATTATGGGCTTTTTTTTTCTTTTTTTTTTTATGGATCAAATACATTGCTAATGAGAAGACATCATCTAAATTATAGTAATTTTTATTTCCCTTGGCTTACTTAATAAAAATATATTCATTAGTTAATTCAATTAATTAAAATTACTTATAAAACTTTCATTTTTATTATAAAAATGTCTCATATATGCTGCTAGTGCAAATTATTTTTTATTAAAATTACATTAGCATCAAAGAGGAAAAATGCTAAAATAATGTAAGCATTGTTTAGAAAGTAAAAAATTTCTATAAAATTATTCTGAACCTTGAATATGTAAGGGTTAGTGTACTTATGAGGAAACACCCTGACATTTCAGAAATAACACTAGAGACATGAATAATTTGGTCTGCATGCACATCTTTTTTATCTGATCCATGAAAATACAGCAGTAAATAGAATATATCAATACTAGTAGATTATTGTTACCAGAAACTGTGTGCTGTACAATTTATGCTTTCATATTTAAATGTACAAAAAACAAATTTATTAATTTCGACAGGACAAAAATTATGTGCTTTTGTAACATGAGACAAAAGTAAAGCTTTTGTAAAAAAAAAAAGTAAAGCTTTTTTGGTGTACCTATGCACTGTAGTTATTTATATATTTATTCATTATTCTGTTTTTTAGGACAAGTATACCTGATGTATTATAGACATTATTGAAAAGTCTACAATCACAAACAATTAAATAATGATTTATTAATTCCTAAAGTTTAACTAAATAAATTTCCAATGCACCAAGTCTGAAATATTTCTATGCATTTAAGTATATACACATGTAAATACTTTAATACTTTAATATAACTGAATATTCATTAATTCTAGGGTTCCTTATTTTTACTGACTACAGTTTTAAAATATTTGCTGAGACAGCACACTTAAAACTAAGGATTATCTTTTCACTTTCTGCAAAAAATTTTCATAGTATATTACCAATTTAAGTTTCGCCATGCATGGTACAATGGAATCCAAAGTTCCATGTTGATGAGCCTTTTCCATCCAGAAACTGTGGTTTGTGAGTTCTGGCTATGGATGCCAGGATTTCCTATCATAATACTGTGCTGAAAAGGACTATTGTTAAGCAGATGTCTTCTTCAGTCCCATCTAATATGCAATCACTGAACTTATTGTAGACAATTTTAAATTCATATGGTTTTTGTGAGGAAATATTTTAAGCTGGTTAGCTCATGCAATACAGCCATGAATCCATTTACCAGTGCCCCCTCTACAATTTTTTAAAACATAATTTGTAGCTATGATATCCACAAAGATTCTCTTGAAGACTTATTGTGTTGCCAAAATGTGAGACTCTGGAAAAGGCTTCTTGCTTTCTAAATACCCTAAAAAAATCCAAAATAACCATAATCACAAAACACACCTAAGATCAACAATGAGAATGTAGGATAAAAAGTTACAAATCCTCATATGAATTGTGTCCACATATTTCTTCATATTCTATTCAGACCGCTCAACAATATTGGCATCAACAGGCATCATAGTTAAATAATTTTGTTCCATGCTCTACTTCCCTGCTTAATGTAAACTCCAATCCGCACATACTCATAAATACTACACTTCATCTCCTCCACAGTTAGAAAGTAAAATAAAACTGACGATTATATGAGTAAGACTTGTGTTTTTCTCTTCGAGCTGAGCTCTTTTAAATCAAAATCATTGGCATTATAAAAACATGATCTTGACATTCATTTAAAACATCATTCAAAACTGCTGAATTTTTTTTTTTTTGGCTGTATTCATCTGCCTCCTTGAGCAGGAGATGTCGCTTCACTCTTGCTATAGATGATAGCCACCTAGAAAAATTGCATTAAATTTAAAATTATTACAAGAAAGATATACTCTCAAATTTATTGATATGGATTCCATACCTCTAAAAAGTCCCAGACTTTCACAGGAGGAATTCTTGAGCATACTGTAACAGCTCATGACTCAGTCTTATTTTCCAAGTCTCTGCCTTTATCTTTTTATTTTTTTGATAACTTTGTTTCTTATATTTTGTGGTTAGGGTTAGCTTGACCATTTTCCCAAATGCTGAAAATTTGAGGCAGCTAGCTGCTTATTCATACACATGCAACGTCCATCCTATTCGATTGCATGCACTGATAACAGTTTAGGTGTTTACCTAGGGCTGGTGTTTTCACTTTAATTTCAGTGATTATTGCTATTTAATTTCTTTTTTTTTTTTTTGCGCTTAGGTGACCTTTCTCTTTCTTTTCTTTTGTCCAATTTGGGCATAATAATACAGTAAGCATGAGTCTGAATCTATTGATTTCTCTAGAAGAGTTTGTTTAGTTAAACTATGTATCTCTCTGTAACTTACCTGGATGTTTCTATATGTAAATCTTTTCTTTTTTTAACTTTTGTAGTAAGTTTTTTTTTTCTTTTTGCCCTTTTTCTTTTTTCTTTCTGTCTGTCTTTCTTTTTTCTTCTAAATCAAATCGTAATTTTTACTTATTCACACAGGGGTTATAAACACAAAAAGGCAGGACATGAGGAAGGGGATGACACCTGAGCGTGGGTGTTGAGTGGGAGTACAGATATCTTTCAGAACATTTTGGGGTTTCTTCCATTCTTCTCTCCCTCTCCCCCTCCCTCTCCCCTCCCTCTCCCTCTCCTCCTTCCTCTCCCTCTCCCCTCTCCCCTCCCCCTCCCCCTCCCCCTCCCCCTCCCTCTCCCCAAACAACTGTTTGTTGTGTCAATTTGTAAGTATATTCCTGATAGCATGTACCATTTACCCAACAGCCAAATTCCCAGTCTTAGCAATTTATTTGTTTTTTTTTTTTATTCTTCTAATTCTTAGGGTCATTTTTTGTAACATTTTATTGCAATTCTCAAATCTGGTATCATCTAGTTATTAAATTTTAATATAAACTTCAAAATAATATATGTATATAAGTATTGTAAAGGTCCAAAAATCGCTGAAGAAAGATCCCAGACTCAGAGAGTATGCCAAACAGGGAGCGTTTAATCTGCAGAAACAACCACTATGCAGGTGAACCATTTTTGAAATAGTAACCCCAGGCAAAGGCATGCCTGCCTTCTTATAGGGAACTGGGGGAAATGTCTAGAAAGATTAGGTAATCTAATATTTCATTGGTGAGTGCTAGGGGTCACAGATGATCAATGATCTACATTCCTTTGTCATGAATGTTCAACCACGTGATGAAATAGGGCTGTCAGCACAGGTGACTCATTCAGAGACAAGATATTTCCCTGTTTTTGTGGTTATCCCCAGCCAGTCCTTTGGGAAAGGGTCTTATGATCTTGCTCTGTATTTTATGTTTTTTTTTTTTCTTTCCTAGAGCTGACAACTTCTGACCTAGTTTCTGAGACTTAAAATCTATTCTTAAATGTGGTACCTTATGGCCTTTTTTTAAAAATCAAGCCTGGTCCTTAAATGGAGACAAATGGGGTTTATGTTGTACTTTGATTATAATACAACTATCTCACACAACAAGGCAAACAAACTTTCAATGTTGTACTCTATAAAATACCTAACCACATTTATTTAATTGTTGAAGAATTTGCTTTGTATATTTAGAATGTTCAAAATAGGATTTATGAGGATTCCACTAATATGGAATAATTGGAAGGATTAAATCTCTTTATTAATGTTATCAGAAAATTAATGGATTTCACTGTGTTGTTTTCAGACACATGGTCTTATCATTGGTCTTATTTAATTGTCCCTTCCTTTTAGCCTTTTTCCCCCCATAGATATCTCCTATCTTTTTATTACATGTATTATATTATTTTTGTTCTTAATCAAACCAATTATGTTTTATGTAAATATTGTTCTCTCCATGTATGTACTTCTTTCTAGATTCATGAAATACATAGCACATAGTCATGCACAGTCACATACAATCATACACATACACAAACACACATACACACACACACAAACAAACACATTGCTTTAACTTCGGATTCTGAACAATAGAAAATATTTGTTGGTTTTGTTTTTCTTAATCTTAATTTGGTTTTCATAGCAATTTACTGACACACATCTTTCCGCAATGGCATGATTTTATTTTTCATTATTAATGAATAAATTGTACTCTGTATAAAATTTATGTAAGTATACATAAATGTTTTATATCCAACTGTTGCTAGGGATTTAAGCTGATTGTGCTTCTTGGTTTTATATTAGAACAAGATACAGATTTTAAATAAAAATTTCAATAAAGTTTTTAAGCCATGGAGTAACAACCATGAATCTTTTTAGCTAGGTTGTTTGAGAATTATATCATTAGTTCATTTGAGAAAATTCCACATTGGTGTCTATATTGGAAAGAGATTTCTTTCACTCACACATGTTTATCAACACCTTTGTGTCTTTCTATCGATTTAATCTGAATTTTTCTATTCCTAAATATGTTGCCAATTTTTCATGTATTTCTTGGATATTTTTATTTCTTCTCTATTGAACTATCCATTAGCTTAGTTTATTTATTAAGGAAAAGATTTGCTTGCATTCATGTGTGCCTTTTTTGAAATTATTTTATATTTTATATATTAACTCTTGCATGAGGTATAGTTTGGAAAAGATTTTTGTTCG